CTGGTTTGTTTATTTATGTATTTATTTGCATCTCTAGTACATTGGCTTCACGTGTACCTTATATTAGACATTTCTCAGGTGGTTGCCATTTCATCCACATTTTAATAATATTTGCTTGGATTTTAATAGGGGCATGAATGTTTTCTAAGTCCTAATACCCTTGGAACTAAGGAGCCCTGATGGCACAGTAGTTAATCTCTCAGCTGCTAACTGAAGGGTTAGTGGTTCGACCCCACCCAGTGCTCTGTGGGAGCCAAGACCTGGTGATGTGCTCTTATAAAGATCAAAACCAAGACCAAACCCATTACCATCACGTCAAGAGAGACCCTATAATACAGAATAGAATTATACCCTTGATAGAGATTTATGGAAGCCCTGAGCCTATGGCCCTTTCTCTTCAAGCCTGGAATGGAACTAACTCACCTACTGACCCAACCCCCACCCACCCACCCCTACCCACCAGCTCCCCACCCATCCCTACCCACCAGCTCCCCACCCCTACTCAACTTTCAGCCAAACAATAGATAGGCTTATGGGGTAAACAGTAACACTAGGGAGGTACACAGTCCTTAGAACAACCAGCCATAAGAGATCAAAGGGCAGCATTTGATGATAACCACAGTGAGGAAGTGGGAAGAGTGCTGTTCCATTGTGGGGACTGCAATCAGTGTCACCAAACAACCTGTATAGGCAGTTGAATCGAAAACCATTCTGTAAATGTTCACTCAAATCACAATAAAAAATTAAAAACAAAACCAAACTGTCTCATAGGGTTTCCAAGGCTGTCATCTTTACTGAAACAAGACTGTAACATCTTTCTCCCACAGAGCAACTAGTGGGTTTGAGCCACTGACCTTTCAGTTGTAGCCAAATGTTCAACCACTGCTCCACCAGGGCTCCTCCTGTAAATATTTGCAGCCCAGGAAACCCTGTGGACACAGTTCTCCTCTGCCATAGGGTCACTATGAGTTGGAATCAACTTGGCAGCACACAGCGACCACCTTAGAACTACCAAGTGGATCAGGATAGACCGTGTTTACGTTGCTCCAGAACATCTGTGAATTGATTCACTGCCCGGTCCTCAACTTCCAGAAGAAAGTCTTTGCTCCCTTGAGTGTGGGAATCTCTAACGCTGTATCCTGAAAAGACTGTGGAGTTGGAGAAATCCCAGCAGTCCTGACAGCCCCAATTACCTCTTTGCTTATGTCCTTCGTCTAAGAGGTTTCATAACCATTAAATAAACAAATCCAGTCCCTTGGGTTTTGGAGGGAAATAATCCTTCCAGGGTAG